AACCTCACCAGAGGCCAACCAGATAGGGCCACCTGATTCTGGAACTTCATCCTCCAAAATTGTGAGTGGAATAATCCTCTTTTCTCTAGAAAATACTCAGCCTCAGATATTTTGATATAGCAACAGAAAATGGACTACTACAGAAAAGATCACATGCTCTTTAGTCTGCCCCTATCTACATCACAGAGCACTCCACTTTACTCAGCCTAATGGGACTTATCAGTATTGATCTTGACATTTCTCCATGTCAATTTTACTGGACCTTTTGCAACCTTGAACAGTTAACTCCTCCCACTTGAAACCTTTCTCTTTTAGGTTATGTGTCTCTACATTGTCTTGTTTTCCTTCACCCTTTCTGGCGGTCCCTATGTTATCATCATATCCTTTTCTTTTGGTACCAGGGATTGAACTCGGGACCTTGCGCCTGCGTGGCAGGCGCCGGAACCACTGAGCTAAATCCCTGGCCCATCATATCCTTTTCCATCAGGGACAACTCTCACTGTCAGAGGTACTTCAGGTATGATTCTAGCTGGTATAAACTTCTTCCCCTCTCCTTTCTCTCGTGACTTAGGAGAATGTGAGAAAAATTTAACAGGTCGTGTAAACATTTAATTACTAGCTAATTAACTATATTTTTGGTTCTGGAGATCAAACCCACAGTCTTTGCACTAGCCACGTCCCCAGCTCTTTTGTATTTTTTGAGACAGGGACTCAGACACTAAATGACCCAGGCTGAGTTTGAACTTGTGATTCTCCTGCCTCAGCTCCCAGAGTGCTAGGATTACGTGGGTGCTCCCTCACCAAGCCTGGCTCCCAAATGATATCTTTTCAAAACACACCCCATGGGGCTAGAAGTGCAGTTCAGTTGTAGAGAACCTGCTTAGCATGTGTGAAGCCCTGGGTTGAGCCCCAGCATAAGAGAAACAAAAACATACTCCAAATGGCATTATTCCCTTTCATAAAACTTCTTCAGTGGCGTCTCATTGTTCTTAAACCCAAATTCCTAAAGGCCTACCAGACCCCCCAGGGTCTGTATCCTTACCCTGCACCATCATCTCTCTCCTCTGCACTGTGGTTGGGTCCCTGACAGGCACTGTGCACCCTCCCCTGGTCGATGTGTAACAGGTGCTAGAAGGCCAGACCACCTCCCAGCTCCCCTGCAGTTAGGGCTCCAGGAACCAGAGGTACTTGGATGAGGTTTGGCAAGTGGAAGCTAGGCAGATAATTTTGGCTGTTTTTACTTGTGACTTTGTGTGAACAACATAAAGTGTACTTACACAAACCAAGGTGGCTGTGATGTCATAAGTGACATAATCTTATGGGTCCACCACCATTGGCTGAAACATCATTTGGCACATGACCATCTGTTATAAGGACTAGTGCAGTCTCTGGCTTTGTGGAGGCCGGGCTAGGACTCAGTATTTCACTGTCCTGGCAGTGGCACTGGCAATGCTTTTGTTTTGTTTTCTGAAACAGGGTCTAACCATGAGTGCAGGCTGGCCTTGAACTCATGTAGCCCAGGCTGGCCTTGAACTTGTGGCAGTCTTCCTGCCTCAGCTTCCCAAATGCTGGGATTACAGGCACATGCCACCACAGCTGGCTAGGCAGTGTCTTTCTAATCCTAGCATCCTGTCTTTAGGTGGCAGCTTCAGCAGTGTGTCCTTATACTTACCTTATACCTAGAATGGTTTATTCCCAAACCTGCTCTGATACATTGGACTTCACTTAGTTTCCTAGAACTGCCCATGCCTCCTCCCACTAGAGTCTTGTAACTGCTTATCTATCTATTTTGCTTAGGTTAATACTGCTAACCATCCCTTAGCACTCCCCCCCCCATTAACTTCTTTATGTACCCTTTTAATCTAGCTTCAACATTTTCCATGGACAGTTACCTCTGGCTTCTCAGACTGGACCACATTTCCTTGTTAAACAGGGATTTCATTTGGTACATTTCTTTTTTTGTGGTACTGGTACTGGAAATTGAACCCAGGGCCTCTGCATGCTAGGCAAGTGCTCACCACTGAGCTGCTACAGCTCCCAAACTTCTACCTCCATCTTTTAATTATTATTATTATTATTATTATTATTTTGAGACAGGTTCTTGGTAAATTGCCCAGGCTGCCCTTGAACTTGTGATCGTCCTGCTTTAGCTTCCTAATCCCTGCCACTGCTCCTGGTTCGGTATGTTTCTTTCAATGTAGTATCAGAGACTGTGATTATGTATTTGTGGGATCCTAGAATTAGAGCCTCAGGAACTAAGTCTTCCCCAGTGCTGTATTGCATTGGTGAGAAAGGACCCATGCAGAGCCGGTGCTTCAACATACTGGCTGGAGATGCTGGGACATAGCCGGCAGCCCCAACTCTGCCCCTCAGCCAGCCTTCATATGCGGTGTGCTGTGCACAGGCCATTTCTGCCTCCTGGGTATCTCTTCCCTGTGAACCCCAGTTCTTACTCGTCACGTGGGCTTCAGTCAACATTGTCTCTTTTAGGAAGAGCTTTACTTCCAGATATTTCTATACAGCGTGGTTTGTTTCTTCCCAGAACAAATATCTTAAAATACTTTATGTTGCTGTGAAAACTGTCTGCTTCACTGCCTATATCTCAGCCGCAAGTGCGCGGTTGGCCGCTGCTACCCGCGTGCCTTGCCGGGGCTGGCTCCAACAGGCGCGGCCATCGCTTTTCGAAGTTCACAGACAGGGAGGACTTGTGACTCGGGGCCTCCTGAGGGGGAAAGGAAGCCGGGGGAGGCTGGTCCTGCTGGGGCCCCTAGCTCAGTCCCAGCCCTCAGGGGGAGAGAATCCTGTGGGGGGATGGGAGGGGAGACCGTTTCTTCCTCCGCTGCTCCCTCCGGGGAGGGGGCGGGGCGGGAAGGTTTCCTCCACCCGGGCGCCCTGGCTCCGCGCCAGCTCTCGCTGAGACGGGGGGCGGGGAGCTCGGGGAAAGCTGGCTCTCTCCCAGCTTCGGGCCCCTAACGCTATCAGAGGAGGGAGGCCCCTGGCAGAGGAGGAAGGGGGGAAGGGAAGACGGGAAGGAGGAAGCCCTCCCCCTGGAAGGGGGGTTGGTTGCCTTGGGACACTGGAGGGAAAAGGGGCTGAGCTGATTCCTAAAGGCAGGAACCCAAGTCCTACCAGGCCCCAACTCAGTTTAGATCTCGAAATATCAAGTCACTGAGCCGGAGAACCAAGACCGTTGGGAACTTTTAATTCTTAACGATCAGGTCATCATAACGTCTCAGGGCTGCAAAAGCTTTCCAAGGATTGTCTGGGGGCTGCTCACAGGCCCAGCATCTATCTGCAGGGCTGGCTTGGAGGAATGAACCAGCACTCTGGGAAATTTCAAGGCCCCGACTCCCAAGATGGTATTTTTCTAAAACTGCCTTGCACACCCTCTACCACCCTCTTTCCCACTAGTTTGTAATCTGAGGACACAGTCGTCCCACTTATCTTGTACCATTCACAAAAGCATCAAAACCTGCTGCCCATCTGAAATGCTTGGGATGCTAATATAAAATACATCACTCTGGGTATGATTCCTTGGGGATGGGCTAAGGCCTGAAACCTGACTTTTAGCGGTCTGCTATGTGATTGGGATGCATAGGTAACAATGCTAGAGAGCCTGGCACAACAGGGTAGGTAAGTGTTACATGTAGCCTACAGGTGTGGGAAATGTGTTTGCAGGGTAAACAGTGTATAGTGTACCTTGAACTAAGGTCTGTACAACTGTACCTGACACTCTGCAAGGAAATAGCACATCGTGTTAGCAATACAAAAGATAAATATTTATTCAGAACAAAACCTTTAACAATTGATTTACATTCTAAGCCACAAGGAAATAGCAAAACATATAGCAAAGGAAAGACAAAAGCTAAAAGAAAAGCAGTGTACTGTGTTTTCTACTTTACTTGATAATACTTAGTGGACCCATGTCCTCTTGCTTGGCCTATTCCCAAATACATTTTAGAGTTAACAACTGAATTCTGGGTTAAAACCACCATTATCCTGAGAGTCAAGAGGCTGTAGATGAGTTCCAGCTAGCTGCTTCTCTAGGGTTCCTAGCTATCAAGGCTAAGGTGCAAATGTAAACCTTTGGTAGGTTTCTTTACTCAGGAGCACCCCCATTTCTCACTGATAGCAATGAATGGGGAAGGGGAAGGCCTCCAAAGGACCTGGCACATTTACTTTAAGTGGGGTAACCCAGGGAGCAATGAATGCACCTGGGAGTTTGTTCCTTAGTCCCTCCCCTTCTCCCAAGTACTGTATTCAGGAGCCCCTGCCAAACCTCTTTCTGCTCCATCCCCCAGATGACTTCTCATAGTTGCTCTGGGTTCATCACTGTGGAGAGTAAAGACTTTCTGGGGCCTCAAGAGTGGAGGAAATTGTTGTGAAGTGTGAGAGGTAGTGGGATGAGCACCAGGTTTGGGGTCAGGGGACTCTACTATGGGCTAGCTCTGGCACCAGACAGCTGTGCGACTTTGACCCAGTCATGTAACCACTCTGGGTCTGTTTCATCTTCAGGAAAACCAAGATTGGCTTAAACCAACTCTCAGGTCCTTTCTGGCAAGAAAAAATTTCCAATTCCACGATTCTCTGGAAAATGGCCTCTAAGCCACAGGGAGAGCTGTCACAAAGTCCAGACATTTTTATGCCGTAAGAGAGGCCCTTGGCCACCGTTCAGAGCTTATTGATTCAGATTATATACACTTCTAACAACACTGGTTTCACAAATTCTCAGACCACACAGATTAGAAGCAGCAAATTAAAAGGGGATGGGAAAGAGCTGCAAAAGGTAGACACTGTGACAGAAGCCACAGGCAGCAATGTTTTCAATCCAACAAACACTGATGGAGAGAGCCTACCCCGTTTTAGGTCCCATACCCAGAGCTGGGGATAAAGATGAACAAGGCAGCAAGACAGCCCAGAGGATGAAATTCCAGGGAGAAGACAGGGTGTGGGAAGAGGAGCAGTAAAAAGTACAAGAAAAAAAAGCCCAAATACAAAAATCAAAATAAAATTTTATAAAGGGAGGAGTAGCATCTGCATGATACAGTTCTGGGTAGTCATTACTGGTGAGAATCACCAATTCAGAACAAGCTGAAATGGAGTAAACTCGGTTCAAGAAGGCATAGAGACATCTCTGGTAGGTTTTTTAAAAGATCTCCTTCAAAAACAATAAAAAATACTTTAAAAAAAGTTTTGGCACTTAAGAGGGGTAAGCTGGCTGTGTGTTCACCCTGGCAGGCAGGCAGGCAGGCAGGCAGGAAGGCAGGCAGGCAGGGGGTTCAGTGCCCGGCCACGCCAGAGAGCTGAGCTGCCATGGAATTGTGAACTGCTTTGGGACACTGAGCAAAGGCATGCCCTCGCTTGCCACAGAGGTTGCACACGATGCCCTTTCGGCAGTAAGGGCTCAGGTGCCCCTCTTCTCCGCACCTGAAACACCTGTCCTGCGTGCAGCTGCCGCTCATGTGGGTCCGGGAACCACATTTAAAGCATGTCTTGGGCTGCCCCTTGTACCAGCTGTAGCCTCTCTCGGCCCCCAGAAAGAAGGCCCCCGGCAGGTGCCTGACCCCACCCTCCCCCTGGCGCAGCTCGATCTCGCACTTGTATTCCCCCGTCCAGATCCCAAACCTATCGGTCACTTTCACGGGCACGGCCAGCACGTCGCAGTGGCGCTTGAGCCAGGTGACGATGTCCTCCACGTCCACTGTTTCGTTCCGGAAGAGGATGAAGAGCGTCTTCAAGCTGGACTTGCTCCGCCCCAGCACTACAAAGTTCTCCCAGCAGTCTTCCTGCTCGCGCTTCTCCTCGTAGACGCGGAGGAATAGAGCCAGCTTCTCCGCTGAGCGGAAGCTCACGTCAAACTCACGGCTGCCGGGGATCTGGATGACTGCGTAGATGTCGCTCGGGTCCATGCCGATGGAGCCCAGGATGAGCGCTCCCACCACGAAGTCCCGGGTCGGGCAGGCGCCCTCGTCGCCCTGGAAGCAGATGCGCACGAGGAAGCGCCCCTTACCCGGGCCGGCAGTGGGGGCCACCGTTGCCGCCCCCTGCTCGTCCGGGAGCGGTTGCTCGCCCGCATCGTCGGCCTCGCCGGCCCGGGCAGGAGTCGCGATGGCCGCCGCCTCGGCCTTTTTCTTCCTGCTTGGCTCAGCGGCGCCCTTCTTCTTGCGGGAGTCCGCCGCCTCGCCAGCTGGCTCTCTCCGTCGGCCCTTCGGGTCCCCGCGGCCGGCTGGCGGGAAGTCGCCGAGGCCCGGCGCCGCCAGGCCTGCGGGGGCGCTGAGCCTGCTTCCCGCGTTCACGCTGCTGCTTTCTTCCTCCCGCCGTGGTGGCCGCGGGTCGCGGAACTCGCCCTTCTTTTCGGCCAGATTCTTCACCACCTGGGCCCAGCCCATCTTCTCGCGGGTGCCCTCGGCCTCCTCGCCCGGAGCCCCGGGCCGCGCTGGAGGCAAGAGCTGCGGCCGTCCCCGCATCTTCTCCTCCTCCGTTCCGCCACCGGTGGCCATTTTACCTCCTTCCCAGCATCCTCCTCTCGTCCCGCAGCCAAAGGGCGCCCATCGAGCGCGCCCTCCCGCCAGGAGCGCAGGGGGTTCAGGAGGGTTTTTGTTTTTTTGTTTTTTTTTTGAAATTTGACGCTCCTCTCCCACCCCGCTTCCTCCCCAGCAAAACTACGCCCTGCGCGTAGGGGCCGGCGCCGGCCAGAGAAGTCTCGACCTCCACTCGCGGACGCTACTCGCTGACGCTGCTCCCGCACGCGCCTTTTCCCGCGCAGGGGTGGCGGCGGCCGGCCTCGCTCTCCGTGACTTGGCGGGTCGCGGGGGTCCTCGGTAATTCATTCCGGCAGCGTTACTAAAGACCCACGAAAAAACCGGGGCGGAGTTGGGGAAGCTAACGCTCATTTTGTTATTTTGTGCCTTAAACATATACAAAAAGCCACAAGTAGCTCTTTCCCTTGAAGTGTACCACTATACAATTTTTTTTCCAACACTGGATTATGAAAATTTGCAAACTTACAAAAATTGAGTTTTAGTGAACATGTCACCATTAGCTTTTTGGCAGTTATTAAACTTATTTAAACTTTTATCATTAAAATGTTTACTACACGTCATTCCATCATACCTCTTATCCATTCATTGGTCCTTATTTTTTGATATTTTTCCAAATAAGTCATATGGTATTATTCTTACTGTTTGAAAAATCACTCAGTATGTTACAATAGTCATCACGGGGACGTCCTCATGATGACTACTGTAATATACTGAATGATTTTAGATGCCGTAAGCACATGCAATCTTCCAGCAAGGGTGCTGTAATTACACCCATTTTAGAAATCCAGAGGCAGATTATGGAGACAGGTTAAATTACTTGGCAGTCCCACGTGTAGGTTGCTTAGGTAGATTATGTTCTTCAGCCACTTTGCTTCTAACACTGGATCAAAAACTTCATTCACATCAAGACTCCCTGTTAACGGGCAGATTAAGTTAGCATCTCTTCCCCTTATCTGTCTCAGCTGGTGTTTGGGAGGCAGTGATTAAATTTGGATCTGAGGAGTTGAGGGGATAGATTTAACACCTTGACTTGTAGTTACTGGTAGATTGTGGAATCCCAAGTTTGAATTTGACTTCTTCAAGTCTTATCTGACATACAAGGCCAATGACTGGTTTTCATAACCTAAGCATGCTCATCCATAACAAAGGAATATTAATGTCTACTCCCAGAGGATTGCTACTGATATGTCAATAACTGTGATACCAATATGTTAACCTATTCACTCACAGGCTCAAGGAGATAACCTATGTCAAAGAGCTTAGCCAGAATGGGTTCTTAGGAAAGGCTATTCTTCCTTTCCACTAGTGTTGGATTCTTTTCTATTTCTTTCTAACATTTAAAGGTGCTACCTAGCATTTGGAATCCTTGCTAGTAAGCAAGTGTTGGCCTCAGGGAAGCCCAAGTCCCCAACTCTTGTGCCTTCTGCACCTTTTAGTTCTGTCACTATATCCTCAGACACCCTTTCTTCCATCCCTTCTCAGCCACACATTACCGTGACCATACTTGGAACTTCATCATTACCAGAAACATGTCTTAGATTCACACCTCCCACTCTTAATCTTTCTGCTTGCCTGTTAAAGTCTTCCTAAGGGCAGGGTGTTCACAAAACTGAACAGAATCTATGGAGTTTAATAATCATTTATGTTCTTTTCATCCTAAGCCCAGGTAACTATTGCACAATCAAATATCTATAAGAATCTAAGTGGAGAACCCAGATCTTTCAAATTTTTTCTTTTCTTTTTTTTTTGGTACCGGGGATTGAACTCGGAACCTTACGCTTGCAAGGCAGGCGGCAGAACCACTAAGCTAAATCCCCAGCCCTCAAATTTTTTTTTTTTTTGAGAGACAGGAGCTCCCTATATTGCCTGGGCCGGACTTGAAATCTGGACTCAAGTGACCTTCTTGCCTTAGCCTCCCGATTAATAGGATTACAGGTACACACCACTATATCCAGTTTCAGATCTTCCAATTTTGAAAGAGGAACCTGAATAGTTTTTCTTCTTATGATTCTTTCAGTTACATTTGGACCCTCCATATAAATTTTAAAACTAGTCTGCTGAGTTCAAAGAAACTAGAATTTTAATTGGAATTTCATTGCATTTGTACAGAAGTGACATTTTAGTGGTGTTTTTCTTTCTTTTTTTTTGCATAGTACTGGGGATCAAACTCAGGTGCTGTTCTACTGAGCTACATTCCCAGTCTTTTAAATTTATTTTTTGCAGTACCGGGGCTTGAGCATAGGGGCTTTGCACTGAGTCACATCCCCAGCCCCTTTTTTATTTTTCATTTTGAGACATGGTCTTGCTTGTCACTAAATTGCCCAGGCTGGGCTCAAAGTTGTAATCATTCTGTCTCAGCCTCCTGGAATGCTGGGATTACAGGTACATGCCACCACACTCCACTTATTTTTTTGAGACAATGTTTGGCAGCCTGGAACAAAATCTGGGCTCAATGGCTTGAATTTGTGAGGGTCTCCTGTCTTTTGCTTTTTTTCCAAGGTGCAAGGGTTTAAGCCAGGGCCTTGTGCATGTTAAGCAATCACTTTCCTACTGGGCTCTGGCCCCAATGTTTCTCTTGTGTGGCCTCTTCTTTTTTTCTGTCCTTAGTCCACTAGTTTCCATACATATCCCTCTTTAGCTTTTTAAAAATTTTTTTTCCCCATTAAGTTTATTGGTACGTTTTCGGTATAAAATACAGTCACATTCATCATTGGGATCTCGTACCTTTACATGAGTATCTTGGTTCTT